TGGTGCTCGAGGGCACATGTTTTCGTATCCATCTTTAAAGCAATATTTTACTTTGCTTTTTACTTTACGAGCAAGTATGTGAATGATTGAAAGTGTGGTGAATATACGTCCATATTTGGCTTTCTTCTCATAATTTTAAGATTCTCCTAATACTCTAGAGAAAATGATGTTTCTAAGCGGCTAACATTCCCAGCTTTTCCATTCAGCATTGCGCTTGCGATATATGTTAGTTGAGTAAGCAATGAAATTTAAGACCGAGAAGAAGTCCCTTTAGCAGAAACTGTATTCATATGCATTCATAGGTCTTAGGCTTTCGTTGTACAGCTGACTAGACAAATTGATAGTGCTCGACGCAAAATTTTGGCATGATTTTCCAGAAATACATAATAATGGAAGTAGAAACTGGTGTTGGTGGTAAGAGCGGCCACTGCCTAGCTGGAGGCAGGGTATATAGGGAGAGGAAGGAAACGGGGTTTCCGCCGGGTCAGGAAATAAGCTGCGGAAGCGCCGCTTCCGCTCTATTGTGGAACTCGGGCAATGGCCGAAAAAAGACGTTGACTGGTGTCCGGATTTCCCTAAGCGTCAACACAACTTTGCAAGCCCAAATTACACTGAAAAAAATTGACTGCGAAGTAACAGAACTCACTTAGAGATGGGTACATGTTTTCTGGAGGTGCTGAGGTAGCTGAGGCGCTGAGTGCTCACAGCGAGCCCGCCCGCTTCATGCTCCGCTACCGTAGTATCGGCATGGCAACCAGTGGCAATTAGACCACACTTCCGATTGGTCGGTTACCTTCCGCAGCAGAAGATTCATCGTTAATGGAATTTAGTGAACATTCGAAACATCATAGCCATATAACTAATAGTTTGCTCGTTTGCTGACGTTTGAAGAGTGTCTGTCAAACAAAGAGCCTAAATGTTCCATTTGCGCCAACTGATCAATAATAATTTTTGATAAACATTTTATTGCAAACATTGCAGTCATCAGTATGTACACAATGAGATTTTCTTACTTTCAGGTACACGTATTAGTAAAAAACCAGCATTAGTGAGAGAAAGTGCTATAAACTGTGCATTGCGTATCCTAAGGCAAATGTGTAAACATTGCTCGCAATGTCTATTTCCTTTTCAAGCGACTGTATGGTTGGCAGAAGTTCGGAGCCTTTGATGAGCACCACTTTCGAAATCTGCAATTACGACGTTTACAAGTATGAGTAAGTTTATACGTATGAAAAGGCAATTGAACGTGAAAGTTCATATGTAAATCCAGGATAGAAAAAGTGGTTAGCACTTACCTCAGCATCGTCCAACTGCTGTTTTGGGTGTACATTGATGTGTGCGTCCCCGTCCACATCCGCCACAATATGACGAGTGACGTCATTCAACCTCGACGGCATTGAGGGTTGCCTTCCAGAAGAACTGCAACAGAGATTCATTTTAATATTGGCTAAAACTATGGGACTTAGCTTCCTCCCACCTAAGCAACACCCCTTTAGCAACATATCCGGTCTCCTCTTTTAACTCGCGTAGCCCCGCGGTAATTGAAGACTCTTCGCCTTCCTGTACACCTGAAATAAACCGCTGGATTAGATAAAGCGGCTGCTCTGCGCCATAACGACGTTTGATTTCATTCTATTTGAGCAAATTACCTCCAGGAAACTCCAATGTCCAACTTTGGGTGGGTATCCGGTATTGCTTGTTGAAAATGAAGTAGATTTCTCCTTCAATTTTGAGTCGTG